CACACTTTACTTACGGTGCCTACTGTTCGCTTGACTCAATTATCTCTATCTTTAATCTATCTGAAAAAAAAAACAAAAAAAAAAAACTAATCGTGGCAGGGGTTTAGTTTGAAGGAAGTTCTCTCTTCCCAACTGGGGGGCTCGGGAACGTTTGTTCTCCATCAACCCTGCGCGTATTCGGTTGAGCTTCGTGTTTCTTAATTTATTTGACGTGTTGAGTCATTAGTGGTTCTAGAGAGTGGAGTCGGGAAGCCGCGCAGGCAGCCGGAAAGGATCGAAGCCGCCACATGAAAATCTATCTGAATTTGTATCCCTTCTTTTATTTGCTGGGCTTATATACTAAAAAAGAGAGCGTCCCGAACAAACTAGGAAATTCAAGATCATTCGAGAAACTCCTCGCACATGCCACCAGCGTCACGTGACTTCCGCTGTCGTAACAATATTCTTGATGTCACAATAATTAAAATATAGCTCACAAGAATATAATTCTATATGTAATTATTGCATAATCTATAAAATTTGTTTTGTATTTGGAAGTTGTCATTTCCAGTTAGCAAGGTAGTGGCACTAACAGTCACACCTGTCACTTTTTAGACAACAATAAACTTTTTTTTCCGGTTTAGTTTTTACATTTGTGTTTATCACGCAGTCGTTATACTTACTCCCAGATTTTACTGATTAAATATGCTACATTATATTTCTGTTATTATGGGAGAGTTACATCGTTTGGTATACTACATTGACAATGTTAACATCTACTACCGTTGAAAGGACTGCCCTCCAGAGGCACAGCGACATGTCTGCGGACTTACAACACTATAAACTGGGTTTCGATAGCCGTGGTGAGAAGAGCGCAGATAGCCCATTGAGTAGCTTTGTGCTTAATTACCAAAAAAAAAAAAAAAGTTTGAATATTTAGCGCCATAAGTAATAACCCAAAATGTTTTAGTGTTTTCATAATGACAATACCATCAGAGTACGTTTTTTTGGTCACTTTTGAAAGTATAATCTTGACGGAAGATTTGATTTTTGCTCCATTATCACGGAAATGTTTATATTATATATTTGTAACGATTGACGACAATACCTCGAACTAGAATAATTACACTGACTTTGAGTAGTACAATTCATGAATTTGTTTTATTATTTATTGTTTAATTGGCATATTATAAGTTAATAAAGAAAATATTTTCGCTTGATTGATTTCACTTACAAAAGAGGACTCTGTTAGCAAAGCAAATCATATTTCTAGAAAATAAAATTTCTGTATATTATGTTTAACTTTTACCCCTGTTTTCCCATCTTCGTTTGAATTCTCATATCTAATCAAAAGTATGGAGTAATAATGCAAGAAGTAAAACGCAAAGAATGCCCCCCTCTTCCCACTTTAATTATTCGAATGGTTTTGATTTATATGATAAAATAGGGCTAGTTAATATATTTGTTACTGTGTTTGTTTAAATTATTCCAAAGTGTAGCAAAATTTTCGTTTTTGTTATATTTGCATCGCAATTTCTTGTTTCCCAGACAAATTGATTGGACTCGCCCTGTCGCACTTAGCGGGGCCTCTTGCGTAAAGATAGATAGTGAATTTTGTTGGTGCGGGAGTGTGAATGCGGAATGATTATGTAGCAGTACAACTACAATATAGTATATTACTACTATACTAGTACAGAAAACTCGATAATATTATTAGTACTCTTACTAGTTTAAAATCATGACTATTGCTCGAGTTTTGTCATTGTTTCTGAACATTTAATTTTTCTACATAAACCAAAATGGGTAAGACCAAAGTTGAATTACGTTATAACTTATATTAAATATTTTATTATTAGTTATAATTATTATAATTTATATGACTACTACTACTAGTACTAATATTAATAATAAGTCAGACATGCAAATTTTGGCCATAAATTTCTGTTAGTGTTACTGATTAACAGTTACTATAGTGTTAGTGTCATTAGTTTTCCTTGTATATGTTTTCAAATTAGGACCGAGAAAAAGTTGACTAGCTAATCGTAATTTTTTGTTTGTTTCTACATTTACTAGTTTCACTTTCACTGTGTGCTTAGGTTAGTGTCTAATCATTGGCCAATGTGAAATCCTGCTGCCAGTGGCGAAAGGTGGCTATTGTTTTATAATAATAAAAAGTAAAACAGCGACAAAAGAATAACAAGAATAAAAAATAAACAGAAAAGTTAAGGCTACAGCGGTGCTTCCCGACTTTTTCCAATATTACTCACCCATGTAGCTTTTTTACAATAGCTCACTCACCCTAGTTCGAAAAAAAAGACAAAAAAGGATTCAATTAAAATGCACTTTTTTTATTATAACTTAAATATACATCGAACTACAACCAAAATGAATACAACAAAAAATAAATGTATTTAACAAATTACAACTAGAATAAATAATAATAACTTACTCTTGAATGTGTTGTATAATTGATAATACTTATTCACCCCCTGCCACATCATTCTCATTCACCTTGATTTTGATTTCACTTACTCCTGGGTGAACAATTCACCCAGTTGAGGAGCATTGGGCTACAGTACAGCGAATATAATTTTAGCTTTTACTAATTTTTGTGAAAGAAAATTAAGTTTAACATGTATATGTCAATTACAAAATGGTCTAATTATATAATAAAATATAAGAAGAATTAAGGATTATTAATAATAACTTTCTATATCACAAAGAATGTAAAGAAAAAGCATAGTAATATTTTACCATTTCACCTATGAAGGTTGCTCTGAGTGCCAAAACAAATTTATAACAAGGAATGAAAAATGCAAAGCTAAACTTAAATGTGCATCTAGGTTTTCACATCTATATATTCAAAAAGTAAACAGTAAAAAAATTAATTGCAAACCGATCATCTCTTTCTTGTAACTCTACTCAAACAGGCCACCCAAACAAAATATTGTTAAAACCCCTATCAAAGTTGAATATGTGAAAAATCTCTTAAATCTTTTTTGCTTCACATAAACACTCAAAACCTTGACTCTCATCAATGACTAGAATGATATGGTTGATCAATTATAATTGTCTCTGCTAACTCCAACATGTTGATATATACATATATATATATATATATATATATATGAACTTGTCATAGAAGGAGGACTAGCTGAGACAGCAAAGTACTCCAGGGGTTTTTACAAGACCTATCAAACGGTTAAAAATACTTTTTTTACTCTTAAATTCAGAATTTATGTAAACAGAACCAAGAACCAAGGTGTTTCCACCACACCTAAACACTTATCAGAGAGTTACCAAGTCGTATCTACATTTGTCTTTTTTCACCACAAGATCAAATATCATATTGCTTGAAAAGTCCTTGAGCTAATCAAGTGAATAGCTTCTCAGTCTTAAAGCAAACTTTTAGCATCATAGTCCATTAACCAAGACTTCGAAGGTCTTCTTGAGTAAGAAAGAAATTCTCATTATAATTTGATTTTCCCATCATTTTAGCATTATTATTGGCCAAGAAAGAAGTTGTACACATTATTGACATAAATCATAATAAAAAAAAATTCAAAACAGACCCCGGACCCCATTAACCAGTTCCAGCTAGTGAAATATTCATTAATAATCTCTCTTTGCTTTATACTATTAAAGCAGTTTTCTGCATGCATTCACTTCTTTGTCGTTCTTATCATTGAACTTGTATATTCTCATGTGAGATAGCTGTCTCTCCACAGTTACTGTCTGTATGTAACAATTAAAAAAAAAGTAAAAACACTTTCATGTACAACATCAATAGGCAAGCCATTCCATGAGTTTAAAACTGACAGAGAAATAATTGTTTTAAAGGTCGTAACAGGGTCTAAGTTTCCAAAGCTTCTATTGTTTGCTACAAATGTTGAAGTTTCCATCAACAACCTAATCATTTCACCACTCTAATGGCCCTTTTTCATACTTTGGAAATTCAAAATGAGAGTTTAACCAGGTTTTCAATATTTATTTCTTATAATTGAAACTAGGTGTCTATATGTGTGCTCTTTCCAATCTATCAACATTGTTCCTAAATTAGGGGTATCAAAATCACACACGTTATTTTAAGTAAGTCCTTACCAAAGTTCATTACAAAGTTATGGTAACCTTTGGCTTCCAAGTTCAAACTTTTATACGTATAGGTCTTGGAAGTATACTAGCTTGGACAAAACTAAACTCTCAGCTATCTTTTTTTTTAGGCATTGAAGAATGATCACATCTAAACATTTTTTTCTTTTTCCACCAAAATAATGTTTCTCTGATATGAGAAGTTAGTCGTTTTCATGTCTCAAATGCATCAATTTTCAATATTGAAACACATTTCAACAATCTTAATCACTCACCTTAATGAGTAAATCTGAAAAATTACCCACAAATCTATTTTTACAAGGTTTTGAGATCCCAGAAAGTTTGGAAACTGTCCTGCCCAAACAGTTACATCTACTCTGTATTTAAATCAATAGCTAAATAATCTTATTTTTTATCATTTTTTGTAGTTTTTTCATCAGTGACATGAACATCAATTGTATAAAAAAAACTATTTGGTGAGATAAAAAAAATTTCTCTAAATTCATGCTAGTTGTTTATCAAGTACAAACTTTTCAGATGCTATTCTAATTGTCCTTTAATGGTATACAGAGGTTTGAGTATGTTATATTAAAACAATTTTGAATATGTAAAGTGAGTAAGGTTAGTAGAAAAAGCCATACATGTGCTCCAGGTAACAGTATGCAATGTAATCAAGATTCATTTCTGTCTATAAAATTGACAAAAGCCCTGTTTATGCAAGATGCTTCCATGACATACCTGTTCAGCTGTTGCTTACCTCAATCAATTGGAGAATGAAATGAGTATTTATGCTATTCTGTATTAAGACATACTGATGAAGTCACCAGATCTAGCACATTTGGATTTCTGCACCACTAAACTGTTGAAGTGGATACTGGTAAACTGTTGTCCATACTTATCATTTCATCACTCTAATGGCTCTTTTTCATACTTTGGAAATTCAAGATTAATTTCTGTCACCGAGAATCTTTTTGCAACATCTTATGAGCTCTAGGTCACTAGCAGTCATGGAACTGAGAATGTTTTTACAACAAATTATGATCTCTATGTCACTAGCAGTCATGGAACTGTTTGCAACTGGTTATGATCTCTAGCTCACTAGTAGTCATGGAACGGAGTATATTTTTACAACAATTTATAAGCTCTAGGTCACTAGCAGTCATGAAACTGGGAATGTTTTTACAACAACTTATTATCTCTAGGTCACTAGCAGTCATGGAACTGCTAATCTTTTCCCAACAACTTATGATCTATAGCTCACTAGCAGTCATGAAACTGAGAATGTTTTTGCAACAGGCTATGATCTGTAGGTCACTAGCAGTCATGAAACTGAGAATATTTTTACAACAATT